CTGAGATAAAAATATTTCGAAATGGTCAAATTAAAATGCTTAGACTGTTAGTTATGCAAAAGGAAAACAAAACAAAACAAAAGAAAGAAAGAAAGAAAGAAAGAAAGAAACAAACAAACAAACAAACAAACAAACAAACAAACAAACAAACAAACAAATAAATAAATAAAAATTAATAATTAAATTTAAATCATGTTTAAAATTATTACATTTTCACATTATTAACATTAATTCATTATTCCATTCATATGTAGGCAAAATGGAGGAAGAAATGCGTAGGGAATTTAGCATACCCAATGATAAAGAAGTCCGGTTATGGAATAGGTATTTGGCAAACATGTACGAACACCTGAAGGGCAAAGACAAGACGTTACATGATGTAGGGTTATATCAGGGTCAATTTATCGTGATAGTGCAGATAAATCCCGACGGAACATGGCCTAGAAACATTGAATAAAAAAAGTAACTAAAGCAATGAGAAGAGTTTTAAAATTGATAAAAATGTATAACAAAATAAACAGAATGTGGTTTAAGAACTGTTGGTTCTTAAAAAAGTAAAAATAGATATTAAGCTAAAGGAACGATATTCATTACAGCTATCAATATAATACATCAGGTTAACAAATGCATTTGCACAAAGTTTATGTGCATACATTTTATATTTGTTTGTTTGTTTGTTTGTTTCATTGTACGCCTTTTCCCAACAGTATTTCAGTCGTATAGGTAGGAAGTTTCCTAACCATCGTTCCTGGAAAGTTACACCAGTACTAAACTACCTTCCTCCGTGCTTAACTACCAAAGCATCTCCCGGGGATCGAACCCACGCCAGAGAGATAACTGGATTAGAAGTCATCGACTCTAACCCCTCGACATTTCATGCACGACAAGATTATTTAAATGCTTTATAGGGGAAGAACTATTGTATTTATTAGAGTAGAGCACTGTCAGTAACATTTTCATGTTTCTTTTATTTTAATTGGTAAAATACCATACTTTAACTTTCGTAACACCCTCTTTGATTGTTTACCTTGTATCTGTATATATGTTATTACAATTTTGTCACATACATGTATATAATATGATATTTATGTATTGGTCTATGCCACAGTGTTGTATCTATGCAAATGAATGAATAAACTTTCTGTTCTGTTCTGATTTAAATATAAAAAAGAAAATGTAAAACTTGCAATATTGCCTGATGCATCTTTTCAGCTCTTCAGACATTTTGGTACATATACTAGTATAATTATAAATCGTTGTGTTTCTTTAATAGCCTTTCTCTGACATCTCTATCAGAATTGTCGTTTTGCATCCGGATATTTACCATTGTTTTGAAAACATTTTTGCCAGTCTAAGTGCCAGTTGAAAGCTAAAACATTTTGATGGCTATGTCAGGTCAGCTTTAAAACCGTAATTAAGATTTTAACAACATACCTGCTAGATTTATTAAATTTGACTCTTGTTATCTGCCCAAGTATATTTTCAGCTTTTGAGAACTTATGATCTATCCGATGTTATCAAGATTTATTTCAATAAGGGGATTCCACACCACCCTCCACCACTACAATACGAACATTTATACAACATGCCATTACTCCTGATGTTGAGACTTGTAAATTTGTCCTTCTTTTACAACATAATAACGTCGAACAGTCTTTGCTTATCAAAGCCGACATAAAGAGGGGGTTTAACATGACAATCCTCTGTAACAGGTTTGTTGTTATCTATTTTGTATTAGCTTTAATTTAGTCATGTTCAACCTTTACTCAGAATGTATCCTGGGTCCTGTCAAATGTTCCACAACGAAAGCATGTGAAGGTTGCGCTTCGAAAGTTTGTTTAAATTTCTAGATGCACGTGTCCTGATTTCTTAATTGTGTTGCTTATGTTTTCAAGGTTTATGGATTGTTCTTAGAGCAACTATTGTGTTAAAAGTACTAAAACGGTAAAATTCTTTATTACTTTTGTTTTGTTTGTCTTATTTATTGAATGATTTACAGTCGAATTATGCAAAATAAACACGTGTCATGCTTTTTGATACTTTACTTTTAGTATAAGTAACATATTCCACGATGAAATTCATTGTTAGTATTCCTTGTTGTTCGAAATAAGTAATGATACTATTAATATATCACGTTTTATTAAATTGCAATGCTAGAAAAACTCAAAAAGATATTTTTTCGCCAATTAAAATGAGAAGGTTTATCACTGAGTAGGTGTATGTGCCCCACTGAAAACAGTTTTCATGAGGACTTTAATCAACGAAAACATTTCATATTTCTGGACCCTGGTCATCCAGTCTGTCCTTTTTGTAGTCTCATTCAAAAGCGTGATTTCAGGCAGTAATACGTCACGGAGCTTATGAACACCCAGAGGACTACGTTCCCTACATGATTGAGTCAGAAGGACTTATAAAATGGCGTATACTAGTAAGCAAAGAGTCTAAGCAAAGAACATTTGTTGTATTTGCCCGAGATGTTGCTTGGAAGGCAGACGAATTGACACTTGATGAAATAAGTGGTGAATTATTAATTTCTATGTCTTATGCACCTAAGGCAAGGAAGTCCAACAGTTAATAGGCCATATTTTTCCAAACTACAGAAAGCCATCACGAGGCACCCAACTAGTAAGACAGTTTCACAAAACAGACTCTACGATATGGACTTATTATGAATAGTGGGTAGAAAAATAAATAACATGTAAATACTTCAAAGTTATATAATAGTATTAGTTAAACAAATTGCTTATCTGATGTACGGGAAAATATAACGGATGAGAGTAATACAGGCCAAGGCGCTAGTCTAAGATTATATTTGTCAGTCATGCTATTTTTTCCCCTGTTTTTCCCGTCAGCAACTTGTATAACTGATTTTTAATTAGAAAAATTCTTCTTCATTTTCTCAAAATAATAGAAGAACATCACGATTAAAAAATAACGCTTCTACCATTGAAGCTCGACGAAAGGCGCGCTTAAAAAGATAACGAAACACAAAGTATATAAAACATACGCTGAATTTTGTTATATACTTTAAAGGCACATTTTTCCTCTGAACTAAATACATATGTTTTTTCTCTAAAAAAAGGGCATAACTCATAAATATAACAAAATGTAAACTTAGTGGTATTTTGACTTTCAAAATGCTAAATCACTCGATCATGTTATATGCCGGCGACTGCTACTTGGCCAATTTGCTCTATTTAGGAAACTGAAACAAAACATCAAGAGTGAAAGGCTGTTGAAAAATATGAATTTTAGCATTTTTGGGTCTCAAAACACTTTAATAAATTAATGGTATTTGAATCGCGAATATGTCTTAAGAAACAAAACACAATAAGATAAGTAATATGCATGTTCACAAGTCTATATGCTAGAAAAGAAAAACATGATTTTTGAGCGACTGCCTTGTATGGCATTATACAATTTGAGAGATAATATAGTTCAATGAGGCAGCATCAACAATGTTCTAATAAATGTAAGGCTTGTAGTAGTTTATATTCTGTGAATATTGACATGATTTTTTTAGTAAAGTTCTACGTTTATTTAAATTGTCAACACATTAACATGATTAAAACATGTCCAAGAAACATGAACTTGAAAAAACTGCTAAAAGTGATCATTCCTTTATAGTTATTAATTTAAGCCGTTCTGAAATGTAAGGAAAATACAAAGTTGTCTTCTGTTCTAAATATGCTCACCCTCTGTGAGCAAAACTCTCATAAATTTCTTTTTCGTTTAGGAACATGCACAAATAAATATTCAAGTCAAAGCGTTACTTTATTCGGAAAACGCAGCTAATCTAAAATACATAAACTATACATGTACGATTTTCTGGAATAAATACTTCAAACTAACAACGCATATGTAATTTAATTAATAAAAAATCAATTTGAACACATTTTCTCCTCCCTAAATAAGAGAGAAAAAAAAGACATTTTACCTATACAGTCATTCAAAATAGTCTTTTGCAAATAGCAAAAAAAAAAAACCCAAAATGTCTTTACGTTACTTTTAACAATGAAAATTACAGCCTTGATTGCGCTTCATGTGTTGTATTTAGCTGTTTTCGGTCAAATAATGTGTATGAATGCTCTGAATGCTCAAGGTTTTGAAATGAAAATATTGTGTGTATCGTGGAACAACTTTCGTTACTCACGTCAGGACCCAGTGATGTATTTATGTTTATTAATAGTATTTAATCTCACGTTATTGGCTAACCCCATCACACCTAGAAATTTATAATTATAACAACCAATCACAATTGATATCCTCATGATTTGACACTATCAATCTCGAATAATAAGCAGACTTACCCTTTTAATGGACTTTCCCATGTACCGTTAAGACCAAATTATCATCCTAGGGCAATATATCACTTCACATGTACACAGCAAATAAAGGAAGTGTAAAACGGTGTTAATCTTGATTAAACTGTTTTGTTATACAATTGATGGATGTATGTGACATAGGTCTACTGTATATATTATAATTAATAAACCAACAAAAATGGCATCAAACTACGCTACTGAAGAGCTAGATTCAGATGAAATTGTAGAAATGTATTGTGAATTGTGCAAAAAGAAAGGTAAATATCGCAGCGCTGACGGGATTTTGTGTGTGAATTGTGTCAAATATTTTTTGCAAAAAATGCTTATCATATCATACCGATTTTTTACCTGATCATGTACATAAAAGACAAGACTAATATGCCCACAAGATGTGTGCTTAACCCGTGTCCTAGTCACAGCGAGGATATCATCAAATTCTACTGCTCAAGTTGCAACATGTTTTTCTGTTCTGAATGTAAGAAGAACGGACACAAGGAATGTTAAAAAAAGTTCATCATTTACCCGAGCTTGTAAAAGATCTAGAAAAAGGAACAGAATTTTTGAACCTAAGGCAAAATTTAGATGTAGTTGTGAAGAATCACAAAAAACACGTATCTGTTCTGTCTGAGGCTAAGAAAATCAATGAAGCAATGTGTAGCGTTGCATTGTCAGAAATAGATTCATTGAGGGACCAACTTATCGAATATATAAATAGAAGTGTTGGAACAATAAAATCAGATTTGAAATCAATAGAAAACGCAGAAATGAAAACAATCCAAGGCACTTGTTCAAAACTGTCTGCATTGATTTCCGAGACATCATCCATGAAATCTAAGATGGATCAGAATGTACGGGAATGTAAAAGATGTGAATTGTTCATTGCCATGAAAGATATGCAAACGAAGCAAAAAGCCCTACAGCAGAATGTATTGGAGGTGAAGCGGCACAAGTTGAGGGACTTTGTGTTTGAAGCAAATAGCAGTATCAAATCTTTGATGAAAAATCATATTCCGTTGGGAAATCTAGTTTTTAAACAAAATGTAAGTACCACCTGTATAAAAGAGGAATCCGCTCAAATGGTAAATATAGTTTTCATAATGATGCTATTTACAATGACCCATTAAACTAATATAACACATTATAGTGATAATGATAATGACAACAGCAACAATAACAGCAACAACAGTTATAATAATAATAATACTTATTTTAATTGTTATTACTATCGTTTCTATTATGATGGGCTGATAGAGGACATTGTGACATTAGCTTACCCGGTGCTGAATGTCTTCCACAAATTAGGAATTATCTAAAAAATATTTCATAATATTAAAATTCCGTCGGCAGTTTAGATCATGCTATTACTTCGGGAAGCTAATATGTTCTATGACACTCTGTCAAGAAAGTGTAATATGCTTTGTATAAATAATTTGGATAAGAGGTGGAAAAGAAGTGTCAAACATTGCATTTCAACATATATTTATATATATTTTACTCATATGCTATTTGCTTATACCATTAAAGAGATGAGCAAATGCTTATTTGGGTTATTCTGAAGGTCTAGATTCTCGACTCATTTTGATATATAAGGCAAAACATATTTTCCCGGTATGTTTTTAAAGTAAATACATAAAACACTTGTACAGTGATCAATATAAAAGGCGACATAAACCTGACATATTTGTATTCAAACTTTACATTGAAATATTTGTTCAGACTGATTGCCATTTTTGGGTATCTGATTGTAGTGAACGAATCTCATTTAAAGCGTAAAATCATTAGGAGCAGTCTACAAAAATTGTTTTGCGCATGCTCCGTTTCAAAATACGACTTAACTTAAACGAAAAATTAACATCGAAGTGAACAAATTGGTACAAAGAAAAAACAGAAAATATCATTTATATGTTACTTAGCGCTACGCGGATGTTTCATTCCGTTTTAATCTTTTAAACTGTATAAATCGATTACTGTATTGTTTACTGAATAGCTTTTTTGTTCCGATAAATAGAAACAGTGAACTTTACAGGTACAATATCGACATGCACTATTATATGACCGGGTGAACCGTGTACCGAAATTTTGCTGCTCGGTATGACTAAATTACGTAACGGAGATTTTTTTGCGCAAGTGGCACAAATTTTACTCAAGATTTTCCTCAAATATTGTGGTTGGAGGCATGCAGCTTTATTGTTTACTGTAATTCTAATCAAATGATATAAACATTTTTTTATGTAAATTTGGGACTTAAAATTGTTTGATTAACAAACTTTATGCCCGTTTTGGAAAATGTAGAGGAAATGTTTCCACATATATACTTACCAAAACATTAACCGAAAATGTGCTTTTTGAATTTTGTAAGTTTTAAACTTTTATTGTGATACTGCTTTTAGTTTGATGACATAACAAAAATTGTTCATTTTAGAAAAAGTATCCCTACTGGGCAGGAACCAGTTTCCGGACATATATTAAGCTGCTATTCATATCTGTTTTAACTGATAATTATTCTTATATAACAAAGAAATTTTTCTCACATATTAGCTGTCTTATATAATTAAGCTGATTTACTGAAAAATGTTTATGATAGGAAAAATAACGATCACGTGATGGGTCTGGGAATGACTGAAAAGTGAAACGGATATTTTTGTGTGTACGCCAGCAACGAAGTGCGAAAGTGGAGTAAACCGAGCTAAACACCGTTTTCCGATACGTTACTGATTCAGCTGCGGGGAATTACACCCAATGAACTTCGAATGAAGTACATTGTGCATTAATTGCTACCCCAAATTATATCCCGAAATAAAAAATAGATTGCGCATGCGCAGAACAAATTACATGCCCCAAAGGGATATAAGGCTGTTTTTAAAACACAGGTAAGTTATCCTCACGAAATTTTAATGATGTATCAACTTGGAAGGAAGTTAATTTTCTCAAACAATCAAACCAAGCATCTTCATGATATATAATACCCGATCGTCATCGATAAAGCAAAAAATTAAGCCGTTATAATACTTGTCCGGAAACTGGTATTGTCCGGAAACTGGTTCCTGCCCAGTAATGTGCGAAGAAAAAAGTCCATTTATCCGGCATATAATCAATCAAAGCATTTAAAAAAAATGAAGTGTAAAACAAACTTTCATTATGATACTATATTCAATATATTTAATAAATTCTATTTTTTTAAACAATTGTAATTTATAAGCATTCCTTGTGTCTTTTATGCAAAATTATCCCTAAATATTTTCGAATTAAACAATTTTCCACAGCAGCAAAAAGACCTCTCGCATCTTTTTAAAGAAGCAAACTTTTTTTATGTGCAGTCAAAGCCCACTGTAGAAGTACCAGATGTAGATACACAGAAGTCGTTCGTTGCAAACCAATTACAGAAACCATTAATTGAAGGAGAGACATGGTAAGTTTTTATTTGAATATCTATATTATGTTTTTGATATATTTAATATTAAACTCGGAAACTTTGTACCTTCATAGTGTTTTCTAACTGCACTTGTATCTCACAAAACAGCGTTTCCAGTATAATAACACGTCACTATATATTTTATATTTAAAGGCACATTACGTCCCAAAAATGCCTTTATTTTCATTTCTGTAGAGCTTTTTATGTTTGGTGTACATTAATAGTTTCCTAAAAAGTTACATATTGGCTAATTATATTAATTATCTTACCCTTAATAAAGTTATTATGGTTCATTGCTTTGTATACATATCAAAAACTATTTGTTCGCATTTTGATACCGTGATTACAAATTATTTCACATGTAGAGCTACTTTTTTCAAGTTACAAACATGTTGTAAAACCGCTATCTAAACGTTATAAATTTCCTGCTTACCCTTTATTTATTCATTTATTAAGTATAATATGACTTTAACGGACAATTCATGACCTTCTTTATAATCTTATTTACTCGTAAGGGGTGTCCGTGGCCGTGTGGTGAAGGTCGTTGACTTCAAAGCTTTTGCCCCTATCCGCTGTGCGTTCGAATCCCGACAGGGACTTTGCATTCTTTCATGTGAGGAAGCTATAAAGCTAGTTTACGAAAACGTCGGTGGTTCTACTCAGGTGCCCGTTCGTGCCTGAAATAATGCACGGAAATGCACCTGAGGTTTTCATCCGCCAGTAAAGCTGGAACATCGCCATATAACCTATACTGTGTCGGTGTGACGTAAAACCCAATCAAACAAACAAATATACTCGTAATAGTATAAACATAATAAAGTTATGATAATTTGACAAAATGTAACATTTTTATACGTGTATTCAATATGAATAATAATTATGGTTCGTATAATAAATTTTCTTGCATTGAAATGATCATTTTTGAAACGGACTTTTTGTTGTAAGAACATATATTTCAAGCAAATTTCTTACAGATTCGGCTTTATCAGAAATTTTGTTTTGTCTGTGTACACTATTTTGACCAATATTTGAGCCAATATGAACGCACTGGATAAATACCAAAATATTGTTTAAAAAATCTTGAAAGAAAGTGATCCCTCGGAAGCATTGATCAGAACAGAATTACATGAAAATTGCAGACTCGGTTTGATTGAGTCTATACATAAGGATAATGAATAAGTGCAACATCCCTCACTCCTCCAAGCATCGACTTACTCAATTTTCAACACTAAAAAGTTCTGGCATCAATGATCCCGAAGGACCAGAAAAATATAACAACACTGAAGTGAAGTTCGGGTCAACAGTTTACAGCTGCCACACGGCACCTGACACCTGCTTTTGTGAAGAATAAAAATCTGGAAAGAAAGTGATCCATCGGAAGCATAAATCACAACAGAATTACACGAAAATTGCAGACTTGGTTTGATTGAGTCTGTACATGAGGGATAACGAATAAGTGCAACATCCCTCACGCCCCCTAGCACCGGCTTTAGCGTTACTCAATTCTCAACACTTTATAGTGCTGGCATCAATGATTCCGAAGGACCAGAAAAATATAACAACACTAAAGTGAAGTACGGCTGTCACACGGCACTTAACACCTGCTGTCGTGATGTACAATAATCTTGAAACAAAGTGATCCCTCGGAAGCATTAATCACGACAGAATTACATGAAAATTGCAGACTTGGTTTGATTGAGTCTGTACATGAGGGATAATGAATAAGTGCAACATCCCTCATGCCCCCTAGCACCGGCTTTAGCGTTACTCAATTCTCAACACTTACTAGTGCTGGCATCAATGATCGGAAGTACCAGAAAAATATAACAATACTGAAATGTAGTTGAAATTACAGTGCAACGAAGGAAAGATGTGTTGAAGTTGCCCCCAG